GGGGGGGGGTATACAGCGGCGTGTGTGTGTGCAAGATGGTGGGGCTGGAGGCAAGGTCAGAGATCGTCCCAACCGGTGAGGTCTGTAGCTATATCGTCGACGTGTTCTGATTTTACAGTGAAGCCGGTTGGATGGGCTTGCTCTTGGGTGTCGCCTGGATCGAGGGCTGAGTCGGCGTCTGGGTCGGGCTTGATGCGTAGCGCAGCAGTGGGATCGACGGCTTCCGACTTGATTTGGGCTTGGCTGGTGTTGATGCCGGGTTCTGGCTTGACTTGGACGCCGTTGGCCGTCCCGTCGCTGCCTGGGCTGGCGTTGAGCGGTAAAGTGTCATCGGGCTCTGACTTTGTGCGCACCTCGTCTGGCGCTGGTGCTTCAGGCTGGCCCAATGGCGACGAAGCTGCTATGTCCTCCGGCTCGGATGCTTGTGGAGAGTGTCCCGCAGGATCTTCATCTTGTTCTTCTGTGGTGTTGGTCTCTGCCTGCTCGTCCTGCTGACTCGTGGCCGGCTGCGACGACTGCTGCGCCTGCGAGGCTACGCGTTTCAGCAGTGCATCCAACGCCTTCTGTCGCGCCAACCACAGCCTCTGCGCCCTTTCGATCGTCAGATCTGCATAGTCTGGCACGATGTCCGCATCCTCAACATTCCCCCCTGCGCCCGCTTTCGCCTGAGCGATCTTTCGATCCAAATGCTGAATCCTCTGCCTGAACTCGTCCACCTCTTCTTTGGCCATGTGCTCCTCGAGTGCGGCTCTGGCTGCGTTTTCGATGTGCTCGAAACGCACCGGACCGAGCAGCTCGCCTCCGTACCACCTGCTGACGACGACGAGGACGTCGGAGGCGCCCTCGTCGCGTGCGACACGCAGCACGCGGTCGCCACCCCACCTCTCGCCGTCATCCTCCTTGTCCTCCTGGAGCGAGAAGTCGTCTGGGCCCGCAAGCCCCGTGCGGCCGCGCTTGAGCTCGAGCACGCGGTATGCGTACATGTCGTGCGACGAGCCGCGCTTGTTCGCGGGCGCGTTGGCAAATTGAGGCGGCAAGAGGTCGACGGGCACGGTGGGGTGGACTACGCGTGTGAGATGCGAGAGCAGCGCCGAGATGTATGCCGACGACGCGGTCGTGAGTGGATAGACGTAGCCGACAAAGAGCGAGCTGCGATCGACGATCTGCGCAGCTGCACAGGTGGTGGGCATCGGCAGAGAGGCCGCGAGCTCCGAGACCGACGAAGACGCGGATGGTCCCTTGCCAAGCCAGGCGGTGAGGGAGGGTGCGGCCGAAGGTTTGGTGGCGGATGATGCGGCCGATGGCTGGGTCGTCGAGTCGTTGGCCGATGACTTGGACTGTGCGGCTTGCTTGCGTTTGCGGACATCAGCCCAGGCCGCTGCGGCTTCTACTTCGGCCTGGACTCGCTCGGCCTCTTCATCAAACGAGTCGTACTCTTCGGCGTCTTGGTTCGCTTCCGCCTCGGATGCGTTGCCAGCAGCGGATGCCTTTGGCTTGCGTACCTTCTCGTCAGACTTGGCGCTCGAGGTCTTCTTCGGCTTGGCAGTCTTCTTCGGCTTCTTGGTGGCGGGTGCCAGGTCGTCATCGGATGGTTCGTGTGCTGCACTCTGGTCGCTGTCTTGCGAGCTGGACGATGCTCGACGGCGTTTGCTCCTTCTCGTAGCTTTCACTGCCGGCTCTGGCGGTCTCCACTCGTCCCCTGAGTCGTCTTCGTCTTGCGCAGCATCTCCGCCGATATCGCCTTCGTCGTCGTCTTCTTCGTCGTCTATGTACTCTTGACTGTCTGAGCGATCGCCATTGCCATTGGCATTTGTCTGTGAGGCAGCTGCGGCGAGCAGCTTCTGACGTTCAAGTTCCAGCTCGCGAGCAAGCTCGTCGTCGTCAGAGCCTGCCTCTTCGACATGCTCTGGATCTGGATCAGCGCTGCTCTCCCTTGACATGGTTCAAGGCTGCCTCCTGTCGATAGACAAGGCGAGCAACGAGTAAGAAGAGAAGCAGAAGGAATGTGGGCTCAGTCAAAAAAGTGGAGGCATGGACTATGATTTTTTTGAAGGAGGGTGTTACGTCGCAGACTGTGTCACGCGATTCGGGCCGAAAATCGAGACGCGTCTGGCGTTGAGAGGTGGGAAAAGCAGGGCAGCAGCAGAACAACACTTTTTGGGCGTGGAGCGCGTGAAGCCGACGGCGCCTCCCATCGAGCCAACGAAGCCTCGCAGGAAGCCAGACGCACAGATGCCAGAACAACAGCGAGCACCATCCACAGGCCCCCCTTTCTTCTCTACCTCGATCGCCCAACCATTCCAGCCCCGTCACCTCGACATCACAGTGCGGAACACTACGGCTATAACACACAACGCCGCCACGCCCAGAACCATGGTGGACGCAGATGCCATCTACGAGCTCGCACAGCGCATAGAATCCAGCATCGAGGTAGACAAGCGCGTCGCTGCGCTCCACTCGCTTCAATCGCAACTCGAATCGGCAGGCTATGTGGTCGAGGCAGACGCAGTCACATCCGCTGTCAAGGTGGCGCTCAAACATGCCAACCAGGCGCTCAGCACCGCCGCGCTCGCCTTCATCCCCACCTACGCCTCCATGATCTACTCGGGCGACGGCACAGAATCCCACTCGGTGCTCAATCACAACGTCCGCATGCTCGTCAACTCGGTCGGTCCGCTCGTCATCGACAAGCTCGGAGACCAGAAAGAGCGCATCCGCGAGGCCGCACGCACCGCCCTCATCGAACTCGCCAACGCCGCCTACGCCATCAGCTCCGGTCACATCACCACATCCGGCAAAGGCAAAGAGACGGAGACGCCACTCGGCATCTTTGAGCGCAGCCTGCGCGAAGCTGGTCTCGCTGCCAAGTTCGCCAGAGTCCGAGAGCAGTCGGTTCTGCTCCTCCCCATCCTTCGCCAGAACTGCGAAAAGTATCCGGTCAGGCCGCTCGTACCTATCACTGTCGAACTGCTCTCGGACGCCGACGCCACAGTCAGGGAAGGCGCAAGATCCACGCTCATAGCGCTCTTCAGCAATGCTGCTCCCGCCGCCAAGGCAGACTTGAAGAAAGAGCTCGAGAAACGCGCAGTGCGCAAACAGACCGCAGACGCCATCCTCCGCGAAGTACTCGCCGCACCTTCATCCGTGACACCTTCAGTGCTCAGCCCGGAGCCGGCTCCTGCACGCAGCCACGCCACTTCGTACACTGACGCAGACGCACCCGCCCGACAGCTCAAGACGACAGCACCTTCCACACATGCGGCGCCACCGCCTTCCACAGCATCGGCAGCAGCCACCGCTACAGCCGACGACATCCGGCCCGTCTACATCGCCTCGCGCTCCGACCTCGAGCGCACCGTTGCATCCATGCTGCCTTTCTTCGAGGGCAAAGAGTCCGAACACAACTGGCTCAATCGCGAGCAGTCCATGATCAAGATCCGCGGCCTCGTCGTTTCGGGCGCACACCGCCAGTTTGGCGAGTCCTTCTTTGTCTCGCAGCTCAAGGTCGTGCAGGAAGGCGTGCTCAAGTGCGTCGCCAGTCTGCGAACCACGCTCTCCATGCACGCCATCCATCTCGTCCAGGAGCTCGCAATCGAACTCGGTGACGACCTCGCTCCCTGCGTCGAGCCCTTCCTCACCAGCCTCACCGCCATGGCAGGCTTCACCAAGAAGCTCATCGCCAACGCCACACAGGAAGCAGCTGCCGCCATCATGGTCAACGTCAGCTTCAGGCCGCTCTACATCCAGCTCATCTGGCACGGCGTCCAAGACAAGAACGTCGCCACGCGCACCGCTGCCGCCGAACACCTGGCGACGGTGCTGAGCCACCATGCGGCGCATCGCAAGCATGCCGTCGAGTCGCACGGCGGGCTCGACCTGCTCGACAAGTGCTTCCGCAAGGGCGTCGGCGACTCGAACCCCGCCGCAAGGACAAAGAGCCGCGAGGCCTTCTGGATCTTCCATCGCTACTGGCCCGACCAGGCCACCACGATTCTGCAGTCGCTCGATCCATCCACAAAGAAGCAGGTCGCGGCTATGGCGCCTTCGGACGTCGAGGCAGAGATCGTTCAGGAGCAGAAGCCAAAGAGTGCGCCAGGGCCCGTTCGAGCGAGGCCGGGCGGAGCGTCGATGGCCCTCATCCAGGCCAAAAAGGCTGCAGCGCTCAAAGCGGCGCAGGAACGCGAACGTCAAAAGGCAGAAGAAGCCGCCGCAGCGCACGAGGCGCGTGTGGCTGCGGCTCGGGCTGCGCTCGCGGAGCAGCAGCAGCAAGACGAACCCCAGTACGAGGCATACGTCGACGAAGCAGCTACGCCCGTCGCGCCGCAGCGCAAGGCGACCGGCTTCATGCCGACGCGCCATCGCTCACAACAGGCAGGGCAGGGCACGGAGCTCAAGCCGACCAAGGATCTGTCGGTGCTGCTCAGTCCGACAGCACACCAGCGCATCCAGACGGCCATTGCGGTGCCTCTGCCCACAAGCCCTACGCCCGTCGTCGCTGCCAACGGATCAGCACCAAATCGCTACAACGGCCACGCGTCGCTGAGCTTTGAGACGCCGTCGCAGCCACGATCGCCCGGGCTCAGCCCGACAGTGTCGCGCACGCGCGCCATCTCGTCCTCGTCGTTCTCTTCGCAGGGCTCGGGCTCGGCGTCCGGCTCGTCGGCGCGACACCATGCGTCCACAAGCACGCCACGCGCGACGCACACAGTCCGATTGCCCACATCTGACGCGCTCGACTCGGACCTTGCCGACCTCAGCGTCGCCGATGTCGGGGAGGGTGATGAGACGATCGACGCCACGCAGCACGCGCGCGCATCTGACCTGGACGCCGGCGGCGAGGACGAGACGCTGCAGCTGGCTGCGCCCGAGGACGCATCGATGGACCTGATGGGCATGAACTTCGCGTCGCCGTTCAAGGTGGGTGCGGACCGTGCTGCCAAGACGCGTTCGGTGCTTTTTGGACGTGGCGCCGGGGATGGGGGCGACTCGTTCGAGCAGACGCCGCAGGCGGTGCGCACGCGTACACAGCCCACCAAGACTCCCACGCGCACCGTGTCGTCCGGCAGCTCCAACAGCACCGGCTCCGGCACGCCCGCGAGTGCGGTTCGTCGCTCGGGCCTGCCACGGCCCGTGTCGATGATCCACTCGCCCACATCTGGGCTGCAGGCCATGCCGCGGTCCACGTCGCAGAGCGGGCTGGCGACGCCGTCGCGTGCGCCGACCAGCGGTGGGGTGGCAGCGGGCACCGTGCTGGAGAACCGCGCACAGCGGCTCGAGGCAGGCGTGGCATCGCCCGCCAAAGCGCGCCCCGAGGTGTGGACGTGGATCGAGACGCTCAAAGCAGGCACGGCGGATCTGCGCACCTTCCGACGCCTGGCCAAGCTCTCGGCCGACTTCAAGGTAGCTGCTCGCAGCGCCGGCGACATTCACGGTGGGGCAGATGAGGGCGACGAGACCGTGCTTACAGCTGGACCGATCGCCAATGCCTCGAACCGCGTCGCGCCTTCGGATGAAGATGGCCGCAGCTCCGGTAAGGCCGCAAGTGGCGATGCTTTGACGTCGGACACGGCGGCATGGGAGGAAGGCGGACTGTTTGTCGCGCTGCTCGAAGGGGTTCAGCGCTACGTGCCGACGCGTGCGAGCGAGACACGCTCGAATGCGGACGTCGAGGTGAGCGCGCTGGCGGTGCTCAACCGGCTCGTCGAACACCAGTACCCGGTGCTGTGCTCTACAGCCACGGAGCGGTCGCTGCTCGACACGCTGTTGGGCGCCTTGGACACTCTCTGCGGCGCGTCGGTATCGCATTCGTCGGCGGTGGTGGCGCACAAGACGATCCTCGCCGCGTGGGAGTCGGTGCTCTCCACCTGGGCTGGACGCTGCGATGCTGTGCTCGGATTCGACCTGCTGCTACCGCACGCACTGGATGCAGCGATTGTGCCCGTGCTGAGGTCGGGATACACGCCGCTGCTGCTTCGCTTACCTGCCCAGCTTGTACTCGAGGACTTCCTCCCGCGTCTGCGCGGCGTCATCGTCCAAGCTCTGCGTGGTGATAAGGCCGAGCAGAGACTAGCGGCCACAACGATGCTCAAGAGGCTCAACGACGCCGCGCGGCCGCACGTGGCCGACTCGCACACGCGCATCTTCAGCGCCCTGCAGCTCGGCGATTCGGACAGGGCGTTGCTGGATGTGCTCATGTACTATTTCTCCAAGCCCTAATGCCAAGTGTTAGGCGGGTATGCGTTTGGGAGTGAGTAGCTGTGTCGCCGTCAATTGGGCGTCGTCCAGACGTTTTCGACAGTAGTCGAGTTGCGAGTGTGCTGTTTCGCCCGCCTGCTGGGTGGGATGATGGGTGGCGATCCAATCGAGGCTGTGTTGGGTGCTTTCGTGGTCGGCGTTCCACTGTGCCAGTAGGGTGCGGAGCGACTTGAGACGACGTTGGGCATCAGCCGTACTGCTCTTGGTCACCTGCGTATGTTCATGCAGACTCCCTAACGATCCCACCAGTGCCGAGGTTGATGCGTATACAGGTGCGAACATTCCCCCGTCCAATCCCTCCTCCTCTCTGATCGTAGCGTCCGAGTCGACTGATGCCAGCGAGGCGGTGCGATGGTGTGTTGGGGTGGCTGCCATATCTCGCGCGAGTTTTCGGTCCAGATCGCGCAGTTCGCGCAATTGAGCTTCGCGCGCCATGGTGTATTCCGAGACGAGTTTGAGGTACCCCGCAGCAGCCACTTCGAGTGGAGCTGTATCTTCATCGTGTCCCTGGGTGGATAAGCTCGAGAGCCGCGCAAGGAAAGCATGTGTGGCTGTGATGCTCTCCTGGATCTGCTCGGTCTGTGCCGCCGCAGCTTGCAACGAGGCCCCACCCAAGCTCGACCCATGGTCTTCATCCACCACTTGGTCCGCTAAGCTACCGCTGTGCGTGGGTTCAAGTTCGTCCGCCAAGCTTCCACTGCCAAGATGCAGTTCGGGATCAAGGTCGAGCTGTCCCAGCTCGTCGCCGAGAGATCCTACATCGTACGGGTGTTCGAACTCGTCCAGTGTGGTATAGTGTGCACCAAGCTCGTCAAGCCCGTCTAGGGTGTGTACGCCGGATAGCTCGTCAGCTAGCGAAAATGCCGGATCCATCCTTGCTGTCGAAAGCGCGTGGGGTGCGGAGGGGGATGGTGTGTTGGAGAAGTGCAAGCTGCCCACACGCCAGCGGCAATCCCGCACGCATGCACCACACACGCGCCCCTCACCAAAAATGTGTTACTTTCCCGCTCACACTCCGCTCACTCCCACCACACTCCACCTCGAAATCTGACATCGCGAGCCGCGCAACCCTCCACCACCGCTGCTGAGGACGCCAAGGACACAACGATACAATCTTCGGCCCCAATACCTTGCCACACTCACTCTTGCACTGCAACACACACTTCAACCGCCCAAACAACAGTCGCTCGCAAGCGTCTTGTGGTGCACATGACAGCTACCAACGCGCGATGACAGTGCGAGCAGTAGAAAAAAAAGGGGCGTATGCGATAAAGCGACACAATGTTATGCTCTTACAACACACTTGCGCGCGCCCATCTCAGACGGGCGGGAAGTCCTTCTCGGGATCGAGATCAAAGTAGGGATGCTTGAGCGCATCGGCGACCTTGATCCTCTTTGCGGCATCGAACTCGAGCAGCTGGCGGAGCAGCGAGAGGAAGCGCGAGTTGTGCTTGGCATACGCGCTCTGCGTGGCGGGCGTGTTGATGAGGTCGTGCAGCTTCTTCATCTGGCGCACGTACTTGCGGCTGTCCTTGCTCGTCTCGGCGACAGGATACCGCAGCGCGCCGTTCTTAAAGTACTCGGGCTTGTACGTCTCGGCCTTGCGCCGGTAGTCGTCGGGCATCTTGCCCAGCACCGCCTCCATCATGGCGAGATGCTCGAGATTGTCGTGCGTCTGGAAGAGCGCATCGCCGGTGAAGAACTCGACGAGGATGCAGCCGATGGACCACACGTCGCACGGGAACGACCAGCCCATGGACAGGATGATCTCGGGCGCACGGTAGTGGCGCGTCGAGACGACGCTCGAGTGGAACTCGTCGTTGAACGTCGCCGAGCCGAAATCGATGAGCCGGATCTCGGTGTTGTGCAGGACGTGCTTGCGCTTGGCGTTCTGGCGCCGCGAGGTGGCGACGATGGAGTGCTCGCTGCTGATGAGCAAGATGTTCTCGGGCTTGAGATCGGTATGCACGAGGTTGAGCCGATGCAGAAAGGCGACGCTCTGCATGAGCTGCTTGGCAAACTGCCAGATGTGCAGCGGCGGGAAGGGCTGGAACTTGTTCTCCTTGAGAAAGTCGAACACGCTCTTGCCCAGCAGCTCCGAGACGATGCAGACGTGGTTCTTGAAGTTGAACGTCTCGAGCAGATGGATGCACTTGTTCTCGTTGTGCGGGTCGTTTTCGCGCAGCGCGCGCAGCACGCGGATCTCGATCTGGCTCGCATCGCGGTACTTTTGCACCGCGCGGATGATCTTGATGGCGACGTACTTGCGCTGCTTCTTGTCGTAGCACTCGACCACCTTGCCGAACGTGCCCTGTCCGAGCAGCCGCAGGATCTTGTATCGGCTGGTGACGTAGTCGCCCTCCTTGACCAAAAAGTGGCCCTGGTCGTCGTCGACGGGGCCCGAATGTGCGGCCACCGCGGCGACGTACGACGCCGAGCTGGCGTACGAGTCGCGCGTGCTGGCTGCCGAGCCCTCGTAGGCCTGCCGCGCCTGTGCGAATGCGGCGTTGGCGTTGGTGGGATCGTAGCGCGCCAGATAGTCGAGCGTGCCCGAGCTGGCGGGGTAGCCGCCTCGGTAGTTGGAGGGCACGCGGGTCTGCACCATCTCGGGCGCATGACGGTTGGCTTGCGCCAGACCCGCGACGCCCGAGGCGGCTAGATGTGCTGCGGCGGCGTGAGACGGATCCGAGGGGTCGTACGAGGTGGCGCCCGACGTGGTGCCATCCGGCCTGACGGGATGGCTGCGTTTGCGGCGCTTCTGGACGGGTGCATCGGCGGGGACAGGCTGGAGCGTGGTGTGCGGAGCAGGAGCTATGAGGTCGGCATCGTGCGGAAGCATGCCGAGGTGGGAGCTGGCAAGCGCCGGATGGACGCCATTGTCGTTGGCCTTGCGTTTGCCCTTGGAGAGGCTTGCGGCTTGGTTGTAACGCGGATCGGAGGCGTAGGGATGCAGATCGGATGCATACGCGGCTGGTGCAGCAGCGTGACCGTTGAGGTGCGCATAATTGTTGACGAGGTGCGGATCACGAGCGGCTTGGACGCTGAGCGGATTGGAGGGTGGCGGAGTATCGTCGTCGATGACAAAGACTTCCTGGACCTGTAGGAATAGACCGGAAAAGCAAACAGAGATGGTGTCAGTGTGGAGCTTGGCTGAAAGGCGGGGGAGCAGCTGGACGTACCTTTCCTCCAATGACTTCGTTGACTCTTTGGAATCCAGAGGCGGGACGCGCGGGCCTGCTGCCGCTTGGTGCGGAGTTGGACATGGCGGGATTGTGTGTTGCTGTTGCGTATTGGTATTGCTGTTGTTGATGTTGGTGATGTGCGGGAGGGATGGGATGTTGGTGTGCAAGCATGCTGGGGTGGGTTGGATCAGCGGCTTGAAGCGAGAGGTTGGCGTGGTCGAGGTGGTCTTCCGGTATTGTCCTCTGCTTTTTGGCACGAGGCACGACTGTTGCCATGGGGCAAGTTTGGTGTAGGAGTGAGGCGCTCCTAGCAGTGTGCGAACAAGCACGCGATACGACGGATTGGTTGGAGGCCTTGTAGACGATGAATGCGAAGGAAGGCGAGGTGCGCGAGACGACTGGATGTGCAAGTGGAGGTGGGGTGGATGGAGGTGCGATGGACGGATTGATGGACGCTGTATGGATAAGTCAGAGGGTAAGGGCAGCGCTGCGATCAAGGATGCTGGAAGCGGATGTGATGGTTGAAAGAAGAAGAAGCAGCAGCAGCAGCAGCAGCGAAGCGAGCGCGCGTGGGTTGGAAGGATAGTGCAGTGACACACGGCTTGAGCAGCGGCGGAGATTAGGCGCGTCCTGTCGATAGAAACGTCGGCAGTGATGCGGATGGACGCGTGTGGCTAAGACTGAGCTGAACAGGGGAGTCTCGCAGAGGACGACGACGCGATGTGCAGTCGATGGTGTCGTATGTAGCCTTGGGTGCGATGCGAACGTTGCGATGGGGAGGATGGCTGGAGGATGGAGACGACCCAGCGAGTGATTTCGCAGTGGCTGCTGCTGCTGCTGCACTCGAGGTTGGCCGTCGAGAATTAAAATTCGGGGCAGCAGAGCGCGGCCGCCGTCGCCCGCAGCAGCACGCGTTGGTTGAGCTTTGGGCGAGGATGATGCGATGCGGCGGCGGCGGCGGCAGCGGCTGCTGCTGGGCCTGGCCTGGCCAAATCTGCCAAAATCCGAGCTAGCTGGGCGCGAGTGGAGATGTGCTCGCTCTCTCTCCCTCAGCCGCTCCCACTCTAATCGCCCCGCCCTCGTCGCGCTGCTCAATCGGACCGAGTTCCTGAGTGAATGAACACCACGCTTGCCGAAAGCACACCGGATCCAGCCTCACAGTCTCAAACGATCCCCTCGAATTGAAAGGGTACGAGCTATCGAGCGACAGGGGATGATAACAAGATTGAGAACGGGGTGGGCGTGAGGTTAGGCTCAAGCGCCGATGGGGGGCGGCGAGTTGCCAGGCGCCCAAGGGAAGCAATCGGGCGCTAAGGGTCTCCACCGCTCCAAGAGTGAGCGTTCCCCCGTCGCTGCGCTCGCTCTGCTGCCGCTGGACAAGGGCAACAACTCTGTTGTGGGTGAGAACCTCGGTCGCGTCGCTCTGGGCGCTGTGCCGTGACGACCGACGCGTTGACGAGCGACTTCGCAGCTGCGTCAGGGCTGCCTTTTGTTTGATTTCACGCTGCCGCGGCGAGGAGCGAGGGAAAAAGCCAAAAGCCAAAGCTCGCAGCAGCAGCACAACGTGTTCAGCCTTGAATTCCCCTTGCGCTTTCAGAGCATCCTCGCCGGGCTTCTGTCTCGGCTGTCTTTCAACGTCGTTGTCAGACACCCTCACGTTCTTCTTCCTGCTCTTGACTAGATGAGCGGCTCTGCCGACGAAGCAAGATGAAATGCCAGCGCACTCAGACTTTGCCGTGACGCGCTGCAACTTCGGAATGGCTGCATTCGGATGAAGCACGCACGTTGGGAGCGGTCATGTGCCACGCCATCTAGCTCAAAACCGCCGCGTCATGATCCGAAGCCGATTTTTGCTTCGTTCCAGTGTTAACACCCTTTCGTTTCCACACTGCCGGGTTTCATCACGTGACTTGAAAACACTTCTTCGCATTCAGCGCTGTTAGCTTTCAGGGCTCGGCGCGCAGAGCGGAAGGTGCGGGTGTTGGTTTGCGGGCCGCAACTGAGCGCAGCTATTGGCACTCTGATCTTGGCTTTCTGCATCCCACAGACCCCTCGGCCTTCGATTCGCGTCTCTCGACTTACAAAGACCATCATCGCTGCCACCGTCTCGGTCGTGCTTCTTAATACCCCACCTTTTGGAGACACTGCAGCGCCCGTACTCGCTCCATCACCTTTCATCGTCTCTCGCGAGCGACAATCTCACGCGCACTGCAATCCGTTCAACTGCGGCCGGCCTCCACTTGCATCGCCCATCCGCACGGCATCCCACACCTGTGCTTCCACCACTACACTGCGCTTCAATCATCAACCTGCCATCGTTACCCTAGCATCGCATCTTCGTCTGGCTTCAGCACGTGCTCATCACCATGGCAGGAATCTGCCGCAACCGCCTCGCCGAGGAGCGCAAGCAGTGGCGCAAAGACCATCCATTCGTACGTCCGCCTCCGCAAGCCCATCGCACACGCAGCATCATCAGCTAACACTCCGCTCTCACCCTCGTTTTCTCATTGCTTCGCATTGCAGGGCTTCTACGCACGCCCCGCCAAGGCCGCCGACGGCTCGCTAGACCTCATGAATTGGGAAGTCGGCATCCCCGGCAAAGCTAACGTAGGTCAACTCCCTCATCTCGTCCTATCCTTTGCCTCCGCTCACTCACCTCTTGCACTTTGCTGTTCGGCTACAACAGACACCATGGGAGGGAGGGCTGTACAAGCTGCGCATGATGTTTCCCGAAGAATACCCGAGCAAGCCGCCCAAGTGCAAGTTCACGCCGCCGCTCTTCCATCCCAACGTCTTTCCCTCGGGCACCGTCTGCCTGAGCATCCTCGACGAGGACAAGGGCTGGAAGCCGGCCATCACGATCAAGCAGATCCTGCTCGGCATTCAAGATCTGCTCAACGATCCCAACCCGCACGATCCCGCACAGAGCGAGGCCTTCACCATGTTCCAAAAGGACGCCACCGCCTACGAGCGCAGAGTGCGTCAGCAGGCGCGCGAAATGGCCACCGCCGTCTAGATCCTTCCCGCTCCAAGTGTCACTGTAATCTCATCCTGCTTGTACCATTTACCCCGCGCTGCCACACAAGACGACAAGTTGTCGAACGAAGTAGGATTCGCAAGAGTCGCAGGCTGGGACGGGGAATTTAGTCGTCATCTTCCTTGATCTTGGAAGCTTGACCACGTGCTTCTTCCTGCTGCACCCAATCGAGCCATGAGCCCTCGTAGTTCCTCACACTGGCGGTCAACGATGTCAGCTTCCATGATCCACCTTGTACGCGGGGGGGTTGTTTTGGGGATCACTTACTTCCACCAGCCGTTCTTTTGGGCGAATTCGAGCGCTTGTTGGGACCTCTTACCCGATCTGCAGTAGAATACCACCTTGTCGTCGTAGGCGGGGCGTTGGAAGGCAAAGTCGCGCAAAAAGTCGCCACCACTACCAGAGAAAGCCTTTTGGAACTGCGATAGCGGAACGTTGACGGCGGAAGGGATGATGCCCTGTGCCACCTCGTTGGGCTCGCGCACGTCGATGATCGTGATCTCGCCCGAGGGCGATTCCGTCTCGGGCTTGAGCTCGGCGTACTTGACAGTGCCTTTGGACTGCCAGCTGGTGTCTTTGGATCGAACCACGGGCGTGGTCGAGAGGGGGCGGATGGCGGTAAGGACCGGCGTGACGTGTCGAGGGGCAGCAGCGCGGATGGAGGGGACAGCGGCCCGTGCAAGCATGGGCGCAAGCAGCGCCGGTCGAGCGGCTCGGATGAGTGTGCGAGACGACATGTTCATCAAAGCGTACGCGTGTGGTGGTGCAGAAAGAGACGGTGGAGGTCGAGCCGAGTGCGCTTCATAGTGGCTGGGGCGCGAGAATTCGCCTGCTTCCCCACCAGCTTTTTCCTGGATTTCCCGATCCGAGCGCTGGCGTCATTGCACTCGCTCTGCACACCACCCTCTTCCCCTCCCCAGCTCATCGTTGGCCCTCCTCTCGAACAGAACCAACCAGCATCGTCTCGCTCGCAATCACAAGATCCTTCTCTACCTTGCTCGGACATCTGATGATTGAGGCATTGATTCAAGCTGAGATCTCTTCATCACAGGCTGCTGCAAAGACGCCAGCGGTGGATCCATGCGCCTAGGCATCGCGCAGACGCTTCTCGGTCTGGGATCGCTTGGACTCGAGCGCGGCGAGCTTGTCGTCCTTGGAGGCGTCGTATGCAACAGTGAGCTGGTTGAACGGGTTGTCCGGATGCTTCTGGAACTGCTTGTACAGCAGATCGTGGTACTGCTGCAACCTGAGGCCCTTGTGCTCCTCCTTGATGATGGGCAGTTCGCGCTCCTTGTACGCCTCGAAGGCGGCCTTGAATCGACGCTCGGGGTGTCGTTCGATCGCACCGGCAGCTGCGCCCTTGCTCGCCTTGTCGCCGCGCTCGTTGACGAGCGACATGGCATCCAGTGCATCGTCGAGGTTCGACGCCGAGAACGACGCGATGGCAGAATCGATGCCCGTGGGCCCACCCGACTTGAGCGCAGACTTCTTGGGCCCTCCCTTGCCCTTGGCTGCAGAAGGCTTGGCCGCGGGAGTCGACGCTTCGTCTTCAGCCTCGAGTCGCTTCTTCTCTTCGGCCTTGCGCGCAGCTTCCGCCGCCTTGTCCGCTTTCTTCTCAGCGGCGGTCTTGCCTCGTCCGCCCGAGGGGTCGTCCCAACGTGCCGCCTCGTCCGCTTCAGCACGAGCAGCTGCTTCCGCAGCCTTCTTGTCCTCGTTCGCCGCCTTCTTCGCCCGGCCCGACTCCTTCTTCGCGTTGCCTCCTGGGAGTATGAGTTGCAACACCACGTCAGCAATGTTGATCATGGAAACGAGTCGGTCAAGCCGAGGTGATGCTTACCTTTGGCTGGCATCTTGGGTTTGTCGTCGCTGACCAGATGCGTTGAACTGTATAGATGGTGGCAGAATCGCAAGCGCAAATCCCGATCACGCCGACTTTGCGCAGCTCTAAACCTCCACTTGGCAGCAGCTGGCGCATGACTCGCGCCCAAATTTCCAGGCTTCCACAGCGCAGTCCCGGCGCTTCTTCTGCACCCTGAACGCCGATCTCAACACCAACACGCCCAGTTCGATCTCACAGACGACTCTGGGTTGGACCGCCAAGAAGGATGTCCTATTCCTCTTCTTCGAAGCCGCCGTTGCCGCTGAGCGTGCCACGCCCGCCGAAGCTGGCGTTGAACTTGAGCAGTGTATTGATGTCGCGCACCCAGTCGTCCTCGCCGCGGTCCGAGTACTTTTCGCCCATCGCCACGGGCTCGGGTATACTGTCGCCCACACCGGGAGGGTGAGCGTGGCGGTCGGACCACTTGCGGCTGACGCAGGGGATGGGGAAGGGGCTCATGGAAACCTGCAGGTACTCGCCCGGCTGCAGCAGCTTGGATACGCGGCCGTCCACCGTAAGCTCGGCGGGCGAGCGCGAGTCGTCCGAAATCTACATGACAAAGGCAGGGAGGTCAGTGTCTGCAGGGTAGGCAAATGAGGTCAAAGAGTGAGTGCGGCAAGGGCTTACTTTGAGCTGGATGACCGAGTCGCTGGGAAGCAGCACGGTGCGGAAGCTGAGCGAACGCGGGCAGATGGGCGTGAGGACCAGACTCTGCACCGAAGGATGCACAATCGGTCCACCGGCAGACAGAGAGTAGGCCGTTGATCCGGTCGGCGTTGCAATGATAAGGCCGTCGGACTGTGTGGATGCGCAGAATTTCGCAGCAAGATGTCAGCAAATGTCACGAGAGGAGAGGGGGCAAGACAACCTACAATAGCCTGGGTGAGATGCTGCCCGTCGACAAAGGCGTCGATCTTGGTCATGTGCGGCTCTCTGCCACGATGCAGCGTGACCTCGTTCATGAGATGGACGTCGTAGCAGCCGCCGCCGTCCATCTGGTCTTGAATCTGGCAGAAGGTCTGGCCGTCCTTCCTGTGGCTGGTCTGCCTGAGGCGCATGCGTAACAACAGGCTGATATCGCCGTTCATCATGTCGGTGAGCGCCTGCTTGTACCCCTTGATATCGTACGGGAGCAAGAATCCAAGCGTGCCCATGGAGAAGCTGAGCACGGGCGGCACAGCATCCCTGTCGAAGAGGCTCGACACATGCAGGATGGAGCCATCGCCGCCGAGTGTGATGACAAAGTCTGTCTTGGCGGCCAGCGCAGCCTTCTCCGACGGATGCGCAGATACGAGCTCTGGGTAGGTAGAAGCGAGCTGTCCGTCGTCCGAGTCGACCACCTCGGATTCGAGGATAATGTTGACGTGAGGGTAGGTGGCGCGCATGTGTCGGATGATGTGCGCCATGGCCTTGGTGGCCCGGGTATCGCGTGCCTTTTTGACGATGAGCACGTTCGAAGGCGGCTCGATCCAGGAGAAAGTATGCGTGCCTGCATAGCTGCTTCCGACGCGCGTGGTAATCTTGGAGCCGCGGCGAGGCGCGATGACCTTGGAGAGTCGACCTGCAGGTCCGATGCACACGTCGACCTTGTCGGGCAACCCTTGCAGCTTCGGACGGTTCGCGTCGCGCTGCCTGTCGGCCGCGCGTGCCGAGCTGCTGGAGCTAAAGTGTCTCGGCGGTAGAGACGCTATTGAACCATGATTGCGCCTATCTGTTGATGAGGTGGAGGGGTGGAAAGCAGTGCGCGAAGCTGCCGAGCCTGAGGGAAGACGCGAAGGTACAGATGATCGTGATACGACTGATCCAAACGCAGCGATGCGACTAGCGGCCAGCCGAAGCGGTATTGGTGGCGCCATGGCTCTTGGTGATGTTGGTGCCGTGAGGACAAGGGACGAGGAGCCAAGCAAGACAGCATGAAGCTCGGCTGACTCGGTAAGGGGATGCCGCCTCCACTTTTTGAGATTCTGGCAGTGTTGAGTCTTTGAACTTCAACACTATCGACGACTTTTTCGCCCGTGGCTTAGGCTCGATTTCGAAATTCCAACGTTTGGGCAGATTGTTCCTGCAGAAGCAACCGGCGAACCTTCTTGACCCAAGCTTCTCGAGGGGCGACCTGAGAGCAGCCTCATTCGCACACAAGGGTCTTTGCCTCGTTGTAAGGATGGCCGAAGTGACCGGGCCCGGCTCGGAGTACAGGAACGGAAAGATCCGCCAGGCCCGATCCTTTTTTTTGTTCTTGTGAGGCGCGCGCGGAAAATCGGTGGATTGAGCGGGCATTTTGGCGTTCTGCCTCTGCTGCCTTGTGCCGAAAGACGGCTTCGGCCAAAAGTTATCGATCTATGCGCAGCGCTGCTGTGCGAAGATCCGTCGAAAGATGGCGGCCACTGATGTGACTCGCTGACTCGCTCTCCCCGCCTGCCGCGGAAGAGCCCATCTGAAGCGTGCATGAATCGCGTGGCGAACAATCAAAAAGACCCTGGCGGCCGAGCTCTGATTTCGCTCCCCTCCCTCGTCCGAGCTCTTGTCCCTCACGCCACCACCCTCGCCTCCCTCGCCTCCCTCGCCATCCTTTGCTGTCAGTGATGTCCGCGTCGTCGTCGGCACCTGCCGCGGCGCCTCACGCCGTCTCGGAGCGTCGGCTGCTGTGGAAGATCGACTTGCTGCTCATGCCGCTCATGACCATCGCATACGGCCTGCAGTTCTACGACAAGGCGATCCTCGCGTCCGCTTCCATTTTCGGTATCCTCAAGGACCTCGAGCTCTCGGTGGTCCATCCAGGCACACCGCCCAAGACGTCGCTCCAGCGCTACTCCACCGCCACCTCGGCGTTCTACTGGGGCTACCTCGTGGCGGCGCTTCCCATGGCGCTCCTCGTCCAGCGCTTCCGTCCCAACGTCTTCCTCGGCTGCGCTATTCTGCTGTGGGGCCTCATCGTCATCCTCACCCCCGCCATCACCAGCTGGCGCGGCCTCATCGCACAGCGCTTTTTCCTCGGCGCCATCGAGAGCTCCGTCAGTCCCGGCTTTATCCACATCACTCGCTCGTGGTACAAGCGATCCGAGCAGCCGCTCCGGCTCGGAATCTGGTACTCGGCTACCGGCCTCTTCTCCATCTTCTCCGGTCTGGTCAACTACGGCCTGGGCAAGGCAGGGACGCGTCCGGGGGCCAAGCTGCATGCGTGGAAGTACATGTTCCTCTTTGCCGGCTCGCTCACCATCCTGTTCGGTCTGCTCATGCTGCTGCTCCTGCCGTCGTCGCCGCTAGGAGATGCGCTGCTCAGCATCCCGGGATACAACCGCTTTTCGCCCGAACAAAAGAGCCTCGCAGCGGGCAGGTTGCGCTCCAACATCACCGGCGAGGCTGAGCTCGACGACGATGCCACGCTGCGCACCAGCCATGCCGAGGAGAACAAACACGATGAAAAGGACGACTCTGCACCAGACACGCCCGCCGAGCAGGTGGTGCTCAACGACCGACTTGCGGCGCTCAATGTGTCGGCGTCCTCCTCGGGCGTGCGTCAGCGCTGGAACGGCGCGCAGATCAAGGAGGCACTTATGGACTACAAGATCTACATCTTCTTCCTGCAGGCGATTGCAATCTACATCTGCAACGGCGGTGTGACGGCGTTTGGCGCGTACATCATCAAGTCGTTCGGCTACACCTCGTTGCGATCCATCATCCTTCAGACGCCCGGAGGCGCCACGACGGCGGTGTCGATCTATGTGTCGACGCTGGTGGTGCTCAAGGTGCGCAACTCGCGCTCGGTGTTGCTCATGCTCACGTGTCTGCCGGTGATTGCGGGCGCGGCCATGATCTGGAAGGGCGACTGGTCGAATCGTGCCATCCCGCTTGCGGGTTACTACCTGCTGCCCATCTTTGGCGCACCCTTCGTCCTCATGCTGTCGCTCAGTACGGCGAATGTGGCTGGTGCGACCAAGCAGTCGGTCACTTCGGCGTTTGTGTTTGCCGGCTACAATGTGGGCAACATCGTGGCGCCGTATCTGACCATTGCATCGGAGGCACCGAAGCACTACCGCACCACGTTTGTCGCCATCATCACATGCATGGCCATCACCATCGGCCTCACCGTGCTGCTCGATGTCGGGCTGTGGTGGCAGAACAGGGCGAGGAAACTGGCGAGGGAGAGGGAGGCCAAGTCGAAACAAGAGGTGGACGAGATCAAGAAGCGCGCCATCCTCGAAGACTGGACCGACTGGCAGAACCCGTACTTCGAGTACGCCTACTAGATGCACACTCGTTTACCGTCTTTCTCAAAAGGATCGTAGAGATCTCGTCGACTGCATGCGGATGTGGTGTGCGGTGTGAAGCGCGTCATTGTGTGCAGGCCGAGGTTTTGCGGGACTCGGAGCAAATTTAGTCCAGGTGTTGATGCAGGGTCCAATGGGTTTGCGGATGCATACAGCTTCCGCACTTGCCTCTACCATACACTCGTCTTCATCCAGCGTGCTCATGGTGTCGCTCGCAATCGCATGGCGTGACGGATATGATCGATGCGCTTGTAGGGCTGAATAATCTCACTGCCGTCATTCGCACCGACTCCGAGACGCTGGCTGCCTATGTGGTCTCCTCAACATACGCCTCCGCAGCGACTGGACTAGACTCGCGCATCGCCAAAGACGTAGATAGCCGGGGGAAGAGAGAGCCAATAAGACCGGAACCTCATGGGAAGAGCGATGACCAGGACGCGGGATCGTGGACCTTGACCGTCGGCAGCGAGCGAGGGTGGTGGGGCACCACGCTCTCGCCTGGCCCACTTGAGGAATTCATCGATCGGCACCGTCATACAGTTCAAGACCATCCCGGCGACTCTCACCGCGACAAGCTCGCCTGCAAGATCAGCAACGCATTTGCACGACAGCGCATCCTATGTGGCGTTCCACGCTCCTGGCAAGGCGACACCACATGGCCTTCGATCCGACTCTACTTTGACGCCGATACGTCGCCGATCCATCTGGACCTCGAGCAGCTCTCTCTCAAAGCCGCTCTGCTCCACAGCACACGTCTTGTACTCTCTACAGCCCCACTCGCAAACTTGCCTTCTGGAAGCTCATTCGCACAGCACCAACTGCAGCGTAAGCTTGAGGCGACGCAGCAGGCTCTGCGCGAAGAGCGGCACAAGTATCGCTCGCTTCTCGCCGCACCTTCGGCGGCGGGGGGACGACACGGAAGGCGGCCCGTAGTGGGGCTCGGATCTAGCCAGCGCTCGAGTGCGTTGCCCTCGTCATCGCCCAGCTCGGGCTCGAGAAGCTACGGCGGAAATGCGCCGAGCTCGGACGATACAAGCACAGTCTCGAGCCAGCCAAGCAGGAGAGGGTGGCAAAGAACGCTGTCGCTCGTCAATCCCACGCGAGTGCAGAGAGCCGACCCAAGCGAAAATGACGACTTTGTAGGCGATCACGACGACGATGGCGAGCTCGACATGTAGCAAGCATACACGCACTTGGAAAGACGCAGATGCGCTTTCAAGAACACCGCACGAGATTGTTCTTTTCGTCAGCTAGTTTCAACGGCTTCCTGAATGATGCGCAGAGATGAGCTGTTTGCGTGCTGAGCAGGGTGTGAGAGGCTGCTGTTGCTATGTGAGGATATGCCCGAGTGAGTGCACCTCATCTGCAACTGGTGCCAAAGACGTCGCTCAAGGGCCAGCTCTTCTGATCATCTTTTTGACACCTCAATTTTCGGTCCGCATTTCATCTCCATTTTTGTTTCACGCCAGCCGAAATGGGCTTTTGGTGCAGCTGCAATTTTTCTCGGCCTCGCCTCCACACACGCACCTTCTTCAAGGCTCTCTCTGCGACCGCTCGCAGCTTGACTTTGTTCCACATTGATTCGCGGGGCTTTGTTCCGCGCGCACCTCCCTCTTCGCAACGGACCGCGGGCTTCAACGGTCATGTCAGCGCCACCGGGACGCTCGGCTACGGTGACTGCACTCAGTGGGCGCGTGAATGCGCTCAAGTTTATGCAACGCGGCTCACCCTCGACCCCCTCGAAAACCTCCTCAGACACGCCTGCCACCGCATCGACGCCGGCCTCACCGTCTCCAGCTGCATCTCCCGCACCGTCCCTACCAGGGTCTCCTGCCGGAGCGATTGGGCAGGACGAGCAGTGGTCTTTGTCGCCTGCTGCTATTGCCCGAATCCGGGCCAACGCCAAGACGCCCGCACCAAAAGCCGGACCAGTCATCTCGCACGAGGCCGGCTTCGAGTCGTGGCTGATCAAGCATACTGGCCAGCAGCCTGCTGCGAACCAACGACTCACGTTCGGCAAGATCGGCAAAACCAACAGCACCGACACCGAGCCGGAAGTTGAGGCCGACGAGTCGCGAGCGTCGGACAAAGACGAGGAGAAGGAGCGATTCCTCAAGCCTGGAAGCAAGAGAAGTGCACAGACGGAGGGTAAAACGGCAAAAAAGCAACGCAGGAGGGACGAGGATAAGGTGGTGATTGCACGCAAGCGCGGGGGCAAGCCGGGCATCTCGGGTGGGCGATGAGCTTCGAAAAGGTGCTGTGGCGCACACAGCCGTATGCGGACAACCACGTTCCCGCAAGCTTCCTCTCGGAGCTGCGTACGAATTCGGACATCGCCCGGCCGTCAGTGTGGGCGCTGGTGCTGGCATCGCTGCGCGTCAGTACGGCGTTGCTGCGCGTGGCGGTATTTGCGATCGTCTACACGCATCTACTCTCTCGTCGCGTCGACGCAGAGCTCGTTCTTGGCGCGATCCTCGTATGCGGGGCGGTGGGAGCGGTGGTGAGGCGCGGGAGGGAGCCAGCACTAGCCAGCGTGTTGGGCAAGATGGTGGTGGCACTGGTACTCTTGGCTGTCTCTCCTGTACTGCGGACGCTGACAGAGGCGACGACGAGCGATACCATCTGGGCACTTGCGGCGATGCTATTCACAGCGCACCTCGTGCTGGCCGACTACGCGGGTGGAAGCGGCAAGCTGCAAGACACGCTCTCGTTCAATGCGGCCATCTCGGCCTCGGTCGTGCTGGCTTCGCGGCTCGACGACGATGTGCAGTCGTTCAGCGTGCTCGCGCTCGCCATCACACTGTTCGCCCCGCAACAGCATTCGCCTCGCGACGCCACACGCGTGGCGCACTTCGTAGCGTTCTACTGCGCCGTGCTCGTGGGTGGGTGGGGCACGGTTGTGGTGTGGGTGACGTTGGCGGTGGGATTTGTATCGCTCGTGTGTCCGGTGTGGATGCGGTATGCGCAGGCGTGGAAGATGGAGATCAAGGGTCCGTGGGATCCGGCGCGGCCGGTGCTGAGTGCTACCAGTCCAGCTTGTTTCCCGCCTCGTCGCGAAGATCCCCCTCGAGGCTCGCCCACCATTCGCCCTCGCTGAATTCATCGATATCCTGGTCTTCTTCCTGTTTGTTGTCTTGGTCGTGCTGTGCAGTGTGTGGTGGGAGTGCGGGGGTGGATTTGGACTGTCGCCATTCGCAAGCGTTTTGCCATTCGCACGACCAGCAGCGACGCGTGTGCTGTACGTCCACACCCACCAGCGCACGTTGGCCCTTCCACATGCTCACCGCGTCGGCGAGGAATGCATCCACCGCTGCTGCGTCGTGAGCAAACTTGACCACGCCGATGATGGCGTCTTTGTGCTCCTCTGCCGACGCACGTCGTTTGCGCCGAGAGCGGTAGCACAGTTCGAGCCCCTGGATGGATGGACACTTTGGCTGGGATGCGCCGCGCTGGGCGTCGTGGACCCACTCGCGTAGGGCCGAGTCGAGCAGCAGCCGGATGTGGTGGAGCGTACACATGTCTGCATCGTGCTGCGCCACGAACAGCGCCAGATCCGTGCCCCAGCTCTCGCACACGGGTGTGGCATCGCGCACAAACGACGCCGACAGCGGCCGGTCTCCATCCAGCCCGAGGTGGCGGAACGTCCGTGGCCAATCCATCGACGTCGCACTTGGGTCCAAATCGTACTCGGGGTGTGAGGCTGAGGGGAGCGCACCAAGGCAAAGGCCGTCAAGCAGCCGCTTGTACGTCATGCACTGCATGCGCGCACTGTGCTGGTCGTCTTCGGCTGGCACCCATGCCGAGTAGCGCGTCTTGGTGTCCGTCAGAAAGTAGCCCCATCCTTCCGCCCCTGCATCCTTTGTTGGCTCTGCATCCTGCGATGGCCCTACATCCTCTGTGGGCTGCGATGCAGGCGTGGCCGTGCTGAAGAATGCGGTGAGCGTGCGTGCGGGTTTGGCATCGCTCTTCTTCGCTTTGCGCTGCGCATCCTTCTTCCACTCTTCCTGGCTCGCCCAAACCTTGGGTTTGTCGGCCGCGGCTGCGAGTGGCCGTTTGGAGAGCTCATCGATGACGCCCATGACAAACACATCGTGGATCCAGCCATACACGGGGATCTCGCGCACGCACGCCTCCTTGCCCTTGGTACTCCCTTTCGCCGGCGGCTTGGGTTGGAGCTGTACGAGGCTGCGGATATCGCACCACAGATTGAGCAGTCTCAGCGCCCATGCATCCTCCTTGGTGTGTGTTTCGACGTGCACCTGCACGGGAGCGACCTGGGCCTCGAGCACCGAGTGCACCGCCTTGCCCGCCTGCAGCGTCACCTCCTTGGCGGCTACGAGGTCGGCTGCTGCTGCGAGCGTCTGCCCCGCCTCCGTCGTGATGGTCTCTGGCCGCAGAGCGGGAGGGAGGTGCGAGAGCGAGAGGATGTTGTACTGGTACGCGTACTCGCACCATGACGGCCCGACGAGGTCCGAGACCGACAGATAGCCTTTGCGCGAAAAGTGGTCCGGCAGCGAGGTGGGTGGCGGCCGGCGTGCGCGCCGCGTGCGCGGCGTGGAAGGGCCTGCTTCCGCCATGCGTGGAATGCACGTCGACTGGCTGAAGGATCGAATGTGGCTGACAAGCAGGGCGCGCGGGAGGCGCATAGCGCCGGTGCGGGGATGGTGGAGGGAATGAAAGGCTCAGTCGGATGTCGGCGAAATGAGCGCCGTGTAAATCGGCCAATTTTCCGCTCCTCGAGGCCGCACGACATCGTTCTTCTCACCACCATCGCCTTCGCTCGGCCTTGGCACGCAGCATGGCATCGCACGCTGGATATGGTGCGAATGCAGGCGTGCGCACGTTGGTAGCATCGCTGCTGCTGAGCGATCCCATCCACATTGACGCGTCGGTGCTCAGTGACGATGTGCACATGCGACAGCGCATGCTGGGGCTTCCGCGCACCGCGCCCTTTGCACCGGACCTCGAAGACGCCCATACGCAGTGGGGCGACTCGCCCGCCTTGCAAGAAGCGTTCATCCGCTGGTTCTGTCGCGACCCCATCGAGGTGACTGAATCCGCACTCAGCGCCAAGACGGCGCGCAGCTTCTTCGTGCAACGACGCAGGGCACTCGACACTGCCGCCGAGGGCGAGCGCGATCCGATCGACATGGAGCGCTTGACGATGCTGTGCAAGGACGAATGGCACGGTACAGGCCGCTTGCTCGTCCAATTTCCGGGGGACCCCGATCTTGCAATGCTCTACATGAGCGTCGTGCGTGACGGCACGGAGGTCAAGCTGGACAACCTATTTGCCCTCGACGACCCTCCCGCAGGTCTGCATCATCACACCCCGGCGTGCTGGGAAAGCTACAATGTGCACGATGAAGACGCACCGGCTGCGGCAGAATACATTAATGACGCCGACGAGTTCTGGTCCGGATTCGACGATCCCGCACCCGCCCCTGCGCCAGCGCATGCAGCCAGTGCAGGGGTGAGCGAACCAGCACACACACCGACGGATGCTGACGAAAGCGCAGCGATCCGCGACATTGTTCGCGGCGCATACACGCTCTTCCGCTCACGGCACCCGCTTGACTCAACCGAGACCTTCCTCGAGCTCGTGCACAGCGCCATCGCACCTCAATAGCACGTGTGACTTTGCCATTGCGAGATCCACTTCCAGCATGCTACGTGACGTATGACCTTTACTTGAGAGGAAGGGGGAGAAGGAGGGGAGAATGCGGGGTTTTCTACCAGAAGGTGGGGCCCTGCTGCTTTCGCATGCTGAACGCGGTGGGGTCGGCCTTGTAGTACTGCTGGAGGAGCTGTGGGAACCATCCGTACGACTGGAACGTCTTCTGGGAGGCATCTACCTCGTTGAGGAAGAGAGGCAGACCTGGGCTGCTGGGGTTCTGCTTCAAGAACGCCATCCTATCGCTCTCGAGCGTCTGCGGGAAGGCGGTGGTGCCGGGTGCGAGGATGTTGCTAAAGAGCCAGTGGACGTAGCTCTTGCCCCTCGGCGGCGCAATCGCGTTGCCGCCATTCTGGTATCCCTGTTCGATCTGATTCGTCTTGACGGGCGTGAGCGAGAAGAAGGCCGACTCAAGCACGGCCTCGTTCCTGTGCAGGAAGGCTTTGACGTTGTCCCAGGTAGCCTGCCATCCGGTGGGGGCCGAGTTGGGGTAGAGCGATCCGCCCATCCACTTGTACGCCTGGGTGGGTGCCCAGCCCAGCGGCGTGACCGCGGTAGCCTCGAGGTAGCTCATGGGCTGTGCCTGGACGATGATACCGGGGATGGAGAGGAAGTCCTTGAATGCCGCGTTGAACTCGTCCTGCGTGCCCTTGTAGAAGAGGAAGCCCGAGCCGAGGTAGAGCGGAGCGCCGTTTTGCTTGAGCATGCCCACGTTGGTGAGCAGGGTGGCTTTGGGATCGTCGGTGGCCGCGACGAATTTTTCGGTGTACTGCACCATGAGATCCATGCCCTCGGGGGTAAGAGCGGTGATGGAACCGCCGTACCAGTTCTTGTCTTCATTTGTACCCGTTGGATAAGCCTTGAGCTCGTACCTGGTCACGATGCCGAACCTTCCACCGCCACCCTTGATGGCACGGAAGAGTTGCGGGTCCGTGTCGGCGGTGACGCGGCGGGTGCTTCCATCGACCATGACGATTTCGGCCGACACCAACCCGTCGCAAGCATAGCCATACTGGGGCGAAAGCAGACTCAGTCCTCCACCGAGCACCAGGCCCGTGCCCACATGCTGTACTCGGCCACCCATGGGTGCCACACCGTACTCGGCGGCGCGCTTGTAGATATCGCCCCACCTCAGCCCGGGCTCGACGAAGATCGTTCCGGGCTTCACGTTGAACGAAAAGTCGGTGAGTTTGGACATGTCGATGAGCACGCCGTTCTGGACGCTGTCCCATCCAGCCATACCCGTGTGCCCGCCCGAGCGCACGGCATAGTTGGCCTGGTGACGGTAGATCGACTTCATGACCGTGGCCACCTGCGCCTGCGACGTCGGCTGCACAATGCATGCCGGAGCGAGCTTGTTGTTGAGCGGGTTGAAGCCGCCGGTCTGGGCGGCCGTGTAGGGTTGACCATCGGAAGAGGTGAGCACTGCATCGTTGCCAGCAGTGGCGGGAAGAGCCTTGGCCAAATCGGCACACACCGCTGCCCCGGGTGCGGGGGGTGCAGCCGTAACGAGCGTCGAGACCGTAGCCGCCATCAAGGTGAACAACGAGGCAGCGCGCATATTCGCCACCGAACCAAAGACTGCAGGGAAAGAAGGAGGGATGGGGGAAGCAAATGTATGCCAGTTAAGAGGGGGGCATGCCTATATACGGCCTTAGCGGGAGCCGTGCGCAGCGCAGGCTTGTTTGGACGTGCCAAGTGCGAGGCTCTGGGCGTAAGGTGTGGGCTTCCGACGGTTGTGCATCTGCAGCAACGACCCGGTGCGGTGTTCGGTTGTCAAGCCGCCGCCATCCAGCGCTGCCACCCAGCGCTGCCATCCAGCGCTGTTCAGCGAGCGCCGGCCAAGGATTCGGGTGGCCAGAAAAGCCAAATCTCACGCCACCCTGAGCTTGTTTCTTTTGCAGCGGTTGGTGGCAGCAGCTGCATGGAAGCGCCCCTCCTCTTCCTTGCCGCGCGCCTCGGTGTGGAAAAAGAATCTCCGCTGCGGCGAATGGGAAAATCCTGCAGAAAAGTGCTCGCTTAGCACCGGTTCGCCTGGCGAGCGGGACCTGCGCATCCGCCCGCCCCCTCTTTCTCTCCGCCCTTCCGCACAGGCTTCGATTTTCCGTAGGATTTTCCGCCCCCCCCGTTCACCCACAATCCCGCGCTCCCTCCGACAATGCATGCTTTGGGCTTCCCGCTCACCTCCGCGAGCCGCTCCGACAACCTCGCCTAGCTTGCGAACCCTTACCACACTCCCTGCTCCTTGCTCGCTCCCCACTCCCGCGCGCGTATCAGTACCGTATTCCGCCGCACGTGGCTCCAGATCTCATCTCGCTTCCAGAGTCCATTTGCCGTTCGTAGAAACGTACGTTCGTGAATGCCATTCTCGCACTCGGGTTTTCGTGAGACGGATGCTACGGGCGTCGTCGCGACGTGGCTCCGGGCGTGCTGGCGCCTTCGCGGTCGCGCCTCACCAGGCTGCTTTCGGGCATGCCCTCGGGCTTGTGCACCGCCTCGATCGCCTGCTTGGCCTCCTTCCAGTTGTCCAGATTCGCCTGCGCAAACTCGCGGTGCATGCGTGCAAACTCGAGCATCATGTCGCGCAGATCGCTCACCTTCTGGCGCTGGAACCGGTCCAGATCCGTCTGGATCGCCGTCGTGGCATAGTGCAGGTCGTTCGAGGTGAGCGCCACGCCTTCCTCGAGCAGCGCAATCTCCTCGCGCAGCTTCGAAATGTTGTTGCGGCGCGACGCATCCCGGTCCACGTCCATCACGCTCTGGAACGTGTGTGTGATGGCGCCCAACAAGCCGTAGCCCGTCGAGCGCGACGACGATCGCTTCGACGGCGAGGCAGGCGGTGACGCTGCTCGCGACCGCACGCTCGCCATTCCGTTGGCTCCTCCGCTCTCCCCCGCCGTGCCCGTTGCATCATCGCCACTGCTCTTGCTCTTGCCCTGGCCCGCGCTCTCTCCTTCGCCATCACCACTCGCCCGTCCGTACACCGAAGCAGACGGGCGGAAACCCGAGCCAACACCGTCGCGAATGCCGTTGGCATCAATCCCGCCGCCCGTCACACGTCCTCCGCTGCCGATCAACCCAGCTCCACCGCGCTCCAGCGCCTCCTCCAGCCGCCTCGCCTCGTTCTCCACGCGCTCCAGCTCCTCCAGCTGCGTCTTCTTCGCCTCGAGCGCATCCTGCGCCAGCTCGTACTGCAGATGCTTCAGATGGCGCCACTTGAGCAGCTTCTGCAGGATACTCGCAAACTGCGCGTACTCGTGCAGCGGCTCCGTAAACTTCTCCTCCCATTCCTTGAGCATGTGGCCCGTGGCGATGTACGCCGCATCCGCCGCCTGGCCCGTACGCTCGATCGCCGTGGCCAGCTCGCCCGACTCGGTGAGCGAAAAGCCATTGAGGATGGCGCCCAGCTCGGCATAGTCCGTCGACGCCTCGGTCCATCGCCGCATCAGACGTCGATTCACCTTCTCCATGCTGCCGGACAGATGGTTGGCGAATCGGTTCGTGAACGCCTCCGAGTCGATGAAGCGCTGGTTCGGCTGCCGCAGCGACGTCACCGACGACGGCAGCGGCAGATGCGCGTACGCAGGACTTGCATGCGGATCCGCCGGATTCTGCACGGGCGCGCGCAGGTTGTTCTTGGGCAGATGCACGAGCGGAGGCGAGGCCGTAATGTCGTTCCAGTGGTACCGCCCGTCGAGGAACTTTTGCAGCACCTCGTCGCCCCGCAGCTTCGGATGGTTGTCGCACCGCCGCAGAAAGCTCTGCAGCATGCGCTTGCGCCGCGCAATGATCGTCGCGTCCTCCTTGGCCTTGCTCTGCTTGGCGGCGTAGTCCGAGAGCGAGTGCTTGGACGGGATCGGTGCGATGATGATGGTCGGATGCAGTCGGATGAGCGCCTCGCGCAGCGCCTCGAATTCAGAGTACCGACGCTTCGCCTCCGTACTTCCGTTGCGGATGACGTAGACGATGAACGACGAGCCGCCATCGCCCGACTTTTGCGCATCCACAATCTCGATCACAGAAGGTGGCGACGCAAACGTCGCTCGGCTGACCGAAGAGGGCGACGAGCTGGCGGCGGCGGCGACGCCAGTTTTAGCCGTAACTTGATCGGCTGTGTTGATTTGGGCGCGGGAGGATGAGCCCGTCCAGCCGTCGTCATCGTCGTCCTCCTGCACTCTGTTTGATGTGGAAGCGGCGCCATCGGGCGCATCATGCGTCAGCGACGAATGCGACGAGGCGGCTGGGCTTTCGGCGGCTGGCGAAGGCTTGCGCGTGGTGTTCTCGTCGTCTGGAATCTGAAACGGATTCAAGTCTTCATGGGGTTGTGAGCTCATCGTACTGACGGAGGTGCGCCCGCGCGGTTGAGATTGTACCAGGAGACTGGATGGATGTCGAGACTCTACGGTCGCTCGCCAGGTGGTGGATGCGTATTGACCGGCTTCGATATCAGAAGAAACGACGAGGCGATGCGCTGAGTCGAGCCTCGTTGGATGATATGGATGGTGGAGAGCGGAGGCTGGGCACTGCGTCGGGCGACGACGTTGCCTGGCTTGCTTGGGCCTGCACTGCCCAGGGCGCAGCATCGATTTCCAAAATTGGGGCCTGTGCACGCACACTCAACTGCCCGGCCAGTCCAGCCAGAATCGACCTCGAAATCCCAACTGCTGAGCGCGTTTCGAGGGGAAAACTCCACATGGCTGCTGCGCCCCCCTCTCTCCCTCCGCCGCCACGGTTCCTGGCTACAGTGCGAGAGGGCTGGCTGCGCTTGTCGTGCGAAAAGACGCCCACTCGAATCGAGACCCTGACGGCCAACCCTTCCAGCTCAGCGCGGCGCTCATGCATGCAACCACCCTCCAGGGTTACGTTGGACAGTGCGCTCGGCCCTCACTCTCCTCAGTGTTGGTCTCTGCGTGCCATCTCGCTACCACACCACAACCGATATCCACGACATTGCACTTTGGACGCAAGCTGGTCTCGAGTGCCACAATGACGCCTGCACCCACCCGCTCCAAATCAATACTACTTCTACTCGGTCTGCTGTATCTGCAAGCTTGCACCGTCGACGCCACAATCTCCACTTCGGCTGGCTTCCCCCGCGATGTCTTCGCCCAACCGGCCTTCCAAGTCCAGCTGGGCAGCGTCAACACAAAAGATGCACCATTGCCGGTCAAGCGGAGCCACGCTTGCGAAATCCTCGAACAGCACCAACAACATGCGTCGTCCTCTCCATCCGAGTCCACCTCCTCACTCGCTGTAGCAGGTCAAGCCGGCGAAAACTTGCACGATTCATCTCGCAACGCTCCGCATGTCCTCCAATGGTCGCTGCAACGCTCTTCACCGACCGATCTTCACCTCTGCTCCATACCAGACTTTACATTGTCATCTGCAAAAGAGCAGCGCACAGCCGATGCAGGCCCATCTCGCTCGCGCCAGGACCTGCTTCGCAATGCTCAAAACCTTCTTGAGCCGCTCAAAAAGGTGTGTCTCTACCACACCTTTGACTGGTTCACCTACAGCTTTTGCTATGGACGCGAGGTGCGCCAGTTCCGTCGCCTCGGCGCGCAAACCGCAGCACAAAAGGCGTTCAAGGCCGCCGGCGGAGGCACCAATGGCGAGAAGGCAGCGCAGGAAGCCGCCAAAAAGGTCAGCAGCGTACAGCATCCCATCGCCGATCCCGAGTATCCCGCCTTCATTCTCGGCCGCTGGACGCCTCAGAACGAAGACATCGTAGGCGACGACCAGAGCCATCAGCGACACTCGCAGCAGCCCCTCAGCGATCTGTCCAAGACGGCTCCTGCAGCATCCAACGTCGTCTCGTCGGACCGTCGATGGCAATCGTACGCCAGTGCGGCCGGTCTCGACCTGGTCGAAGAGGTGCAGTTTGGCGACTGGGACGAGGACGAGCTGTATGCCGCCGAGGCCAAGGCGCTGGCTCAGCTCGCAGGTTCGCAGAGCCACGCGGTCGCATCCAGCCCACACTCGTCCTCTGCCGGCGCGCACGACTCGCAGCGCCACCGCTACCTCACCCAGCGCTGGACCAACGGCACCATGTGCGACATGAACCACCAGCCCAGGAGCATCGAGGTGCAGTTCCACTGCTCCAACCGCAAGCCCCTCGAGGACCGCATCGTCATGTTTAAGGAGACCACCATCTGCAACTACGTCCTCGTCATCGAAACGCCACGCCTGTGCGCCGACCCGGCTTTTGGCTCCGAAAAGCAAGAGGCCCCGCTGCCTGTGCAATGCCACAAGATCGTCGAAGACACCTACCAAGGACCCACGCTGGGCGAGCCGAACAAGATGCTCGAGCCGCCCCTGTCGCAGCTTCAGGGCGCAAAGGATGCCAAGCAGCAAGCGCAAGCTGCACAAGACTCGCATGCGACGCCTGTCAAGGACACGGACGCTCCACAGGAGACCGCCAGCACCCACACGTACGGCGATATTTCGCGCTTCAGCTCGGTCTATGACGACTACTACGACGAGGCGCTCGGCGGGCATGGTGCGCTTTTCCATGAGTACCACGATCACGAACATGAACACGATCACGAGCACGAGCACGGTCACGGCCACGAGCACGACGACGAGCTGCTGTCCTTTGGCGACCCGGATTCGGACGAGATCATGGTCGAGGTAGGCATCGATGAGGACGGTAGGCTTGTGGTCAACGAGATTGACGACGTCGCCAGCGCCGATCCCTCTCCACCTCGCGAAGGCAAGGAATCGCGGCGGCGCGAGAGCGGTAAGAAGCGCAGCGACGACGATGGTGCGCTCGAGATCGAGCTCGACATGGACGACTTTCTCTCGGTGCTGCGCGGCGACCAAGGCGGCAGTCTGGAGCGCAAACTCGCCGAAAGGATCTCGCAGGTACTCAATCGCGAGCAGCAGAAGCAGTCGAGTGGCGACGCAGGCGACGCAGGCGAGCCGAGGGACGATGCGAGGAAGCAGACGCCGGAAGAGGTGGCCAAGCTGTACAACCGGCTCATGGCGGCTGTTGCGGGTGGTGGGCATGCAGGCAAAGATGCGGCCGACAAGCCGGCCAAGGGGGGCAAGCACAAGCAGCCTCCGACGCTGCGCATGGAAAAGGTGGGCGACAGCTTATCCGAGCGCGCCAAACGCTTCTACGACGCCAAGTCGCGCGAGAGCGAGAGCGAGGGTGACAAGCGCGACAGAAAGACCGACGCTCCCAACATCGCAGAGCATCTCGAGCTGTAGCCTTAGTCGTGCCGCCATCCACTATGCTGTACGTCTCCTCCGCATGTGTGTCGGCTGATCCGATCGCGTCGACCTGAGATTATGGCTGGCTTGGGCGAATGGTGGGGATGCTTTGCATGCTGTGTGGGAACTATATACAATCTCGATCGAGCCTCTCTAGACGTACTTGCCAAAGAAGGGGATGAGGCTCTGGGCGATGGTGAAGGAGAAGACGAGCTTGGGGCCGACGACGAGCACCTTGGGGGTGAGGCCCTTGAAGAAGGCGCTGAAGCCCTCGTTTTTGATCATGTCCTTGATGATGGTCACGCCGCCGACCTTGGATTCGAAGTTGGCGTTTTGGATGCGCGTCTTTACGACGTCCAGCGGGGCAGCGACGGTGATGGATGCGACGGAACCGCCGATGGAAGCAAAGAAGTTCTGCGTCCATGTAGCGTCGTTGTAGTTCTTGAGGCCAAAGATGTATTCCTTTGTGAAGGCGGATCCACCGAAGAGCGCAAAGGAGCCGGGAGCGTTACGTGCGGCGGTCCAGCCCCAACCACGGTAGAGGTTGACGTTCTCGTCGGCAAGAATGCGCAGGAATCCTCGCGAGCGGAATGCCTCCGGGTTGGTCTGACGCTTGATCTTGAGCACATCCAACGGCAGCAGCACAATCTCGCCGATACCCGTGAGCGAACCAGCAGTGGCCGACATGACAGCCTTGCCCGTGCGCTCGCCAAAGACGTTCTCGAACTGCTTCTTGTGATGCGTCGTGAGGTAGTCGTTAAAGTACGGCTGGCCACCGAACTTGTAGATGCGCTGAAGCACCTTGTAACCCGCAGCGTAACCGAGACCGGGGAAGAGCGAGAAGAACTTGGTCGAGACGTTGGCGGTCGCCTTGTCCTTGAACACCACCTGCGCCATCGACAGGCCGGACGTCTTGTTCGACATGAGTCGCTTGGCCACCGTGTCGACCGGGTGGAAGACGAGCAGTTCAGCGATGCCCGACAGACCCGAGCCGAGCAGACGCGCCTGCGCCGACTCGCGCTTGCCGCCAGAAGGAGGTGGCGACATGGTATACGTGCAGAATAAGGAGCAGGAGAGGCTGGATGCGAGGATAGAGGTGGTTGCAAGAAGCAAGATTCAGACGGACAGCGTATGCAGCTCACCACAACTTCTCGGAAGGCGGGCACCGTGCTCGCTAGACGAGTCAGAATCCCCAACCCGACCGATTCCATCGTCCCATCGTCCACAGCGAAGGCCTCCCACGGGCTGCTGCCTCTCTTTTTTTTTTTTTACTTTCCCACTTTTTTTTATCGCCCCGACATGAGAAGAACAGCCGAAAAAAAAGAAAAAAGAAAAAAAAGACCCGCCAGCCGCGGAAACACGTTGGGATGCCCCGCTGACAAGCCCACTCTGTAACTTAGCCGGTCCGTCTACGGCGCCTGATTAGTCTGATATCGAGATTGTTTTCCAACCCAAAAAAAAAAGAGAGCGCGCCCTGCGATTGCCGATAATGCGCGTCGATTGAGCCGGGCGATCCCGCGTGCGCAGCCAACCAATTTTTTGGCTTGTGATTGCACGGGCGGCCGCTCATCCATCGTACCGGCTACTCGCTTTCGACGGGTCTACACACCGGGGCAAAAGCATGGCTGCAGTATCGCAAGCCGGTCCCTGTCTGGGCCCGAACGCTTTGAACAGCCATCCCTGCGGTGAAACCGGGCAGGGGTAGCAGCCGAGAACGGAAGCGCCCGGACCGGGGTTGTTAGAGCGTTGCCTGAACTGTGTTCGAGTGAATGCCGATGCATCGGGCGGGTGGGCTGCGGCACGTGATGCATTTCGCCCCAGCGGATTTTTTCCCTTTCGCAGCTGCGGCCGCGTCGAGATTCTTCGCAAAGCTCGACCCGGTTGAGTCGCTCCCTTGGCTTGCTGTGTTTCTCTCCTTCCCACCACTCGCTCCGTCGTCATCCTAGCCCCGACTCTTGCATTGCTCCGCGCTGCTGCAGTCGCAAGGCCCCAGGATCGACAACGGTGCGGTGCAAAACCTGAACAGTAAGTCTTCCAATAGTCTCCAGCACCTCCCCTTCGTCTCTCCTCGATCTCTGGCGCCTTCTTCGTCCTTTCGATCGACAGCGCGTACGCTGCCGGGCCCTTGCAACGACACGCAACAAAGGGACAACTCCAAATGATGATCATATCCCATTTTGCTCAGAGCCTTGTCACTCGGATCTACCAATCCACCGACTTGGCGAGGAGTTCGAGTTTACTTTTAGTCATAGTTACACTGATTCCCACCCTTCCTCGGCACCCGAGCGCGCGCGCCAGGGGAAGAGAGCGGCGGAGAAAAAGAGAGAATTGGCGGTCACACTGCGATCAGGATATGGACTGACCCAAAATTCCTGCTCTTCTTGCGTCCACGCTTCCTCTCATGATCAGGTTCCTTCCTTGGGCATCATGCAATTCATCGGTCACACTGTCAATCCTCACACACGAACGAGATCGCACGTGCAGCTCCTTTGACGATCTTTACTGAGAATTGACCTGAACTGAAACAACACAGCGCGATACGAATGAAAGATGCAGCATGAGAAATGGAAACGGATCACGGCTTGAAGGCCTTTAAACCTTCATGAAACGGAAGAGGCTCGCGAGCTTGACGAACCGCCTTCCGTTCTTGGCGAGGTACTTGTCGATGGTCTTGTGGAGCATGTCGAGTTCGCGCTTGTTGATGTCGAGTGTGGCGAGCACCTCGTCGTGCCACGCCTTGATGTTGGGTGTCTGCGACGTTCCCTTGCCCACCACCCGCTCGCGGATGCGCGCAGCATCGACGAGCGACTCAAAGTAGATGAGCTGATCGTACAGCTGCTTGTCGCGGTAGCACGGCTCTACGCGGCCTCGGCATGCCAGCTGCCCGCCGACAGTCGAGGTGGCATCGAGGAGCGCGGCGGACTTGGAGTCGTGCACGGCGATGCAGCGTTTGGCGTAGACGCTCGCCATGCGCGTGCGGCTGTGGCAGTTGGCATCGCTGCATTCCGTCCATCCGGCATAGTAGCGCTCGACGTACTTGCGGATGGCCAGCTCGAGCTGGATCGACACCGTCGCCAGCGGCAGCATTCGCTGGCACGCTGCATTGGTGCATCGAATGCCCTTGGTCGAAATCGCGTTGCGCTCCTCCGCCTTGGCGTTCGTCGAGTCGCGCAGCACACTGCTCGCCGTCGACGATGATGCGCGGTGTGCAGGACCCAGGAAGCGGCTCGTTTCGCGACACGACGGACACGTCAGCTCGAGCGGCTCGCAGCGTGCAAACCTCACCTCGTCCGGAATCTGCGAGTCGAGCGTGGCAAACTCGCGATCGCCCATGCCTGCGCCACCTGCCGACGCCGAGACATGCGAGTATTTGGTGGGATCCAGCCCCAGACACTCTGCCAACCTCGAGCGGTCGGTACCCTCGATGCTCTCGCACAGCCTCTCGATGGGCGGTAAGATCTGCAGCGCCAGGTAGTGCTCGTAGTCCACCTTGAGCTCGCTGTCCTTGCGTCTGAGCTCGTCCGGATGGTGTGCCCGATCCGCCTGCGCGCTCTTGGTGCTCGACGCCCCATCCTCGCCCAGGCAAAAGATGTAGGGGATCACGTCGCCCATCCTTGCGCTGCCGCCGCGCGCCTTGACGCGCAGAGCCACCTGGACGTGCGGCTGCGACTTGACGTCCGGATAGTCCTCCGGATTCTTTCCGAGCCGCTTGTAGATGATGAAATCATCCAGCGCCACCTCGCCACGCTTGATCTTGTCCGCCATGTCGCCGAGGTATTCGTGGATGTGCTCCACCACCACCTCGGTCGGTTGTCCCGACAGGATCTGCTCCAGCACATAGTTCGACACGTTCTTGCTAAGCGCCGAGTACTCGCGACGCTTCATGTCAAGACCCTTGATCTCGGTGGTGCGCTTGCCGTCTTCGTCCACCATGACCGCCGCGTACTTTTTCTTCTGCAGCAGCAGCATGCGCTCGAACACACCGTCAATGTCGATCTCCAGCAGCCGGTAGCGCTCGTTGACCGACTTTTTGAACTCGAGTCCGATCCGGATCGCCTCGCGGTACTCGGTGGCGTTGGTGTTGATCATCACACTGTCCGTGTCGCCGTACACGACGTCGAGCAGCATCGACTCGGCAAGGTCCTTGGTGGCCGTCAGGATCTCGCGGCCCTTGAACGTCGTCAGCGCCGCGAGCGGGCGCGCGTAGAAGCGCGAGTTTTCGAAACCCAGACAGCCGTACATCGAGTTGGCAGTGAGCTTGAGCGCAAGCTGCTTGATGTTCCACTGCATCAGTTGCGACGGCGTCGCCGACTTGTCCTTCATGAGCGACTTGACCTGCCGACGCCGTGCCACGAGCTGCGCAATGATGCGCGGCAGCACGCCCTGCTCCACATCCGACGACGGCACGTCAGGGATCTTGTCGCCATCCACAACACCTTCCGCCGCAGCCTCTGCATCATCCTCGGCGGCGACGGTGGCAGGGTTGACAGCATCGTCGTCTTCCAGCCCTTGGGTGGGCGGACGCTCGACCGTGGTAAAGTCGATGTTGAACTCCTGGATGATGGACGGATACAGCGAGTTGAAGTCCATGACGAGGATGTACTTGTCCCACAGCCCACGCTTGGGCTCGAACACCAGACCGCCCTTGAACTTGTCCTTCTTGCTGCTGGCCGCCGCAGCTGCGCCCGCGCCCGTGGCGCCATTCTTGGCCTTGGCCTTGAGCTCAGCCGCCTGCTGGATCTGCTTCTTCTCCCACGCCGAGATCTTGTCCGGGCAGACGTACTTCTGCCTGTGGAAGTCGTGCAGCAGAATGTACTCGTTGCGCTCGGCACGGCCGCCGTTGAGCGTCTTGTTCCAGCTGTTGCCCGCCAGGTTGGTGAGCTGCTTGGTGAGGGGCAGGATCTGCACCTTGGCCGCAATCGCCATCTGGAAGAACGTGTCCACCTCGCAGTGGCGCACGTACGTCAGCAGCCGCTCGGGCGACGGCGCGAGCGAGTCGAAGAACGACGCGGTCTCTTCGGGGTCGATGTCCTCGCGCTGGATCTTGAGATGCGTGGCACACATCTCGGTCAACGACCAGGTGGTCGAGGCGATCATCGACTTGCCGTTGTCCGAGGCCAGATCACACACGAGTCGGCCGGCAAGAATCTTGAGGTTCATGCCCTGCTTGAGCTTGGGCCACTTGGGACGGCGGAAGCGGCCGACGCGCGACCAGTGGTCCGCACGCAGATCCTTCATGCGGTGCAGCAGCACGTCGAGCGACACACCGTTGAACTCGTGGCCGACGATGACGTCGGGGTCGGCATTGTGGATTTGCGCCAGCAGCGCATTGAGCAGCATGCGCTCGTACTTGAGCGTGTGCACCTTGATCTTGCCCTTGCGCGCCTCGGCCTCGAAGCCGGGCGGGAACATGCTGCCGAGCGGCCGCACCGCGGTGAAGACGGAGCAGGGCAGCTGCTCGGGCGGCGTGGGGTCTTCGATCTGGTGGTCGGTCCACGTGCGTGCGCTGACAGCCACAAGCTCCTGCTTGTTCTCCTTGTGGTTGACCACGGTGCGAATCGCGAGCGACATGACGGTAAGCGGCGGCGTCTCGCGTGGCGACGTGGTGTCCGTGTCCGAGATCGGCGCAATGTCCTTGGGATCCTCGACGGCGACCTCCATCTTGCACCACGAGATGGGCGTCGAGCCTTCGGCGATGCTGGCGTTCGAAATCTTGAGCCAGCTCGGGCCAAAGATGCGTCGCTTGACCACGAGCAGCTCGAACGGCGACGTGTTGGTGCCAAACGTCTTGCTGAACGTGCGGCCCTTGAAGTCGAACGGCAGCTGCGGCTCGTCAAAGCCGTAGCGGATCTTCATGTAGTTGCTCTCCGCAGGCACGCCCGCCTGTTCGAACGCGTACTTGCGCGTCACCCACTTGGACAGGAAGCGCTTGATGCCGTGCTTGGCCGAGAGCTCCTCGAATTCGTCGTAGATCTCGTCCTCACCGACGGCACGGTCGGTCTCGTGCCCGTTCTCGAGCTGCTTGCTGCGTGGAAGCAGGAAGATGCATCGCTCGATGCCGTTGACCGTGAGACAGCACGAGACGTACCTGCCCGTCTCCTTGTCCTTGACCTTGCCGACCAGATACACCACGCCGTTCTCGCCCTCAAGATAGTCGAGCCAGTAGAAGAAGAGCGACTTGTCGTCCTCGAAAGCCTTGACTTTGCCCGCCGAAGGTGTTGCGCTTCCGACTGCCGTCTTGGCGGCGCCTGTGGGACCGGCCGGAGTAGGCGTGGTGGGCTCGACGTTCTTCATGAGGTCGTTGTGCACCTTCTGCCAGCTGCTTCTGGATGCGGGCGCCTTTTCCTGCTCCTTGATCGCTGCGGGAGCCGCCGATGGCGTCTTGTTCGTGTCGGCGCCGTGGCTGGGCTTGGCGGGACGCGGCGTGGCTGCGGCGGGAGAAGGCTGCTTTGGTCGGGAAGCTTGACCGCGCGCATCGACGGCCTTGGCCGGGATCGAGCCGACCTCGACGCGGCGAACAGCCAGGTCTTCAGCCTCGTCGTCGCTGAAGGCGAGGGCGTCGTTTGTGAGACCCGCGGCGCGTTTGGACGGATGGCTGATGAAGACGTCGGCATCGGTCTCACCTAGCCCGAGGCTGCCAATGCGGCTGGGCAATCCTTTGGGACCGCGGAGCTTCTTGTTGGAAGCGGGCAGCTCGTCGTCGAGCTCAAAGACGGGGTCCGAGCCGAGGTTTGGACCCCAAGGAGGCGTGTCGCTGCCGCTGACGTGAACGTTGGGTGCAGCGCTGTCGCTCGAGGGGTGTGCAGACTCGCTGGTGGGAGGGCCGGATGAGGGGCTGGTGAAGCCGTTGCTGGCGCTGTGCGAGGTGCGGAAGCGCGAGAATGCGCCCTCCTCTTGCTGCTTGCGCTTCTTCGAGAGCGATGTCGAGAGGCGGTTGGCGGGCGAGGGGCTTGTGGGGTCGTGCGTCGACGTGGAAGGCTGCGCGCCAAACTCATCGAGGTTGCCCATGAGGCTCGCCATGAAGTCGTCTTCCTTCTCCTTGCTCACCGAAGGACGGTATGCATCGAGGGCAGCGGATCGCACGCGCTGTGCGTCGCGCGCGCGACTCGCCGAGAGGTCGCTCGACAGGCCGCCAGAAGCTTTGCGCTGCTTGCTGAAAGCTGCCGAAAGGCTCGACTTCTGGTATGCTGACGAAGAGGCATCGGCACCCTTGAGCTTGGAACGCGCCTTGGTGCCTTTTTTTGGCTTGCGCTTGCCCGTGCGCTCAAAGTACTCCTGCTCGTCTTCGGTGTCTTCGTCCTCGTCTTGGTCGTTGGCGCGTGCACGCTGGTCCCACTCGTCTTGGCCGTGGTCTACGTAGCCGGAGCCATCGTCGTCCTCGATAAAGTCGTCATCCATGACCCTGCCGCGGATGATGGAGCGGTACTCGTCCTCCGAGACCTCGTCGTAGATGGCATCGTCGTCCGAGTTTTCGCCTGCCTTGGAAGTCTGTGGTCGCGAGATAAAGCAGAGATGAACGGGTGAGTAGGAGCTCGAAGAGTGTCGACGGTCCGGTGACAGAGCGCTTCAATGCTTACCGAGGGGAGATCGACACCATCGCGCTTTGCTTTGAGTGCGGCGAGCGCGTTCAGCTTCTTTGCTTTGGACGACATGGTGCGGAACGACTACGGGCCAGAAGTCGTTGACTCGTAGAAAGGGGTATGAAGCTCTGTCCGCGTGAACTTTGAGATGCGCGCAAGGCCGTGACGATCGGATGCAGACGATGCAAGGTCTGAGCGCTATCGAGGAGTCGGTGTGTATGTGCGGTGGCCTAGGCGACGGAACAGAGATGAAGTGATTAGAAGGAAGGTGCCGGCTCGCAGTCTGGTGTTGGCTTGGTGTTCGCGCGCCCCGCCGCTCTCCAAGCGCGCCCTTCGCGACTGGTTTGCGTTCGTGTAAATGGGCCCAACACCAACTTCCAACACACAGCTCAGCGTGGCCCAGCTCGCGCAGCTCGCGCAGCTCTCTCCGCTTAAACGACGCGAAGGCAGGGCAGAGCTCCAAGGCCAAGGCTGGCTCAGCAGTCCCGCGCGCGTGTTGGCTGAGTGGAGGAAAAAAGCCAACACGCACCCCACGCCAATCTCCGCGCTGCGCCAGCCAGCTCGCGACGCGAAACAGACGCGTCTCGAAGCAAAAAAAGAGATTTGTGCGCTGTTAGACCTAAGCATTGTTTGGACGTCGACCTTGCCCCCGCTGTATCGACGCCTAGCGACTACCGAGAAGCGAGGAACATGCTGCCCTACTCAGCCAGGTCCGACAGCAAAAAGATGTTGAAGAGAGGATGGTCATCATTTCCGGTGGTCCCTATGTTGCAAGGTTGCTTGTGCGCTTTCACCGCGAGGTACGCTGCGACAGAATGCGTACCTCGCGGGCTAATGGAGCTGGTCCGAAGCAGCCATGTAGCCAAGTGGCAGCCTGCCAGCTTCGACTGCGCCAGCTAGTTTGCTCAGGCTTTCTGATCAAGTCAGAGATCCCATTCAACCTCGTCTGTGAGGAACTTGACTTCCGGTCCTCGGCTTGTGCTGGCTTTCAGCTGTCTGAGCTGCGCTGAGTGTTCAGCATTCACACGGCCATGTTTTGGGCTTGAGGCCGAAGCCCGTATGCACGGTGCACGGTGCATCCATGTACCACAGCAATTGATGGGTTCGACATCTTACAGCAGAGCGCTTTGACAGCCGAGCGGAGAATCTTCCACATGCGGAATCTTGTCTTTGGCTTCCACGCATCCGCCGTCGGCCAAGCTTTCGCCTTGAAGCCTAACGAGGCTTGCATTAATCCGCGTGAGAGCGCCGCAGTTCAGAGAAGTAGCACTGTTGTCATTCGCAGGGGGCGAGAGATCGGCTCAGCCGGCGGGCATTGCACCAATTGGATCGGACACCCATTGGCTCCACGCTGAAGCTTGCGGTGAAAGAGACATCCACAACGGCGCTACGAGTGAAGCCTCATTCACTGATCCCTCAGCTTGTGTCAGCCTCTCTGACGAAGTCCTGTAGCTCAGTCCGCCTCGATCCTAAGGCTGAACTTAGGATTGCCCGGCATGAGCCTCTTTCAGGTCCAACGACGTGCGGATGAGGAACCGCGAGCTTGGTCATCCATGCTACCACAGATCGCATCAATCTTTCCAGCAACCATCCTCCGTCTGGCACTTCCGGACCATGTTCAGCCGTGCCTTCACAATTGTTCTCGTTGACGTACATGAACGTCAAAATCTGGGGCTAGGGGGGTGAAGCCGTCGGGATTGCTCGGAGCTTGCCTGTCCGAGGGTCATGCGCAGCAAGATGAGAAAACAAACGCCGAGCACAATGGATGGCTATACTTGAGCAGTCCGGGCAGCTTGCAGGCGGGTGCGGCCAAAGCGGCACACCGGCACGCAACGAGGGAAGCATACCGCGTTGAAAGCAAGAATGCCGAGCGGAGCCCTTTTTTTCCCTGGCTGGCGCTCGAAAGAAATTTCTTGACCCAGACCAGCAAATGCAGATCCTCAAGGTCCTCCCACCTTCAATCCAGCTATGCGCTTTCATGCGAATGCGATGACCATACAGGCGCCGGTCACTCGCATCCTCCCACCACCAGCACCATGTTCAGTGGAACCGACTGCATCCTTTATGAGATCACCTTCCAGCAAAGCCCAAGATCGATTTCAGACTCTGTGTAAGCGCATATCCGTCGGATCACAACCGCTTGTCATCACACCTCGTCATGAGAGTTAATGAAGCAAACAAAGTCAATTTTGGACGCAGTCGTCGGCCAGCCTCGTAGCGAATGCGTTTGCTGCCACTAGACCTGCGAATCTGAGTCCATCCTGAGGACAGACAGAGTTCCTGATCCAGGGCTCGAGATACACATTGATCCCGCGCTGAGTCGCTCGAAATCAGTGAGAGATATGCTCATCATCCAAGTCAAACAGAGCCCGGCCCAGTTGCTTCGATTGCCACAGCAAGAGCACCTCACGTACATTCTCTTGCACGAGACATAGCCGTGTAACGGACGAAGTTGCCATACGCTCAAAGGCAGTTTCTCGTCGCGCAAAGGTCGCAACAAGCGCGAATCCGACGAGTCTGAGAGCCAGCTTTCGATTGCCTTCTTGTTACTCGAACCTACATGGCCTCAACAAGAGGCACTGTCACAGGTTCTATTTCCGGAACCCGCCGATGAAGACGCGAGCATTCGTGCCTTGCAGGCCACGCTGCATCTCGGTTGCGGTGCATGTGACGTTTGAGTTGGTATGCATGGACAATGCTGCTACGTGGCACCAAAGCAGGCCGACAAGGGCCATTCAGCGGCCTGGCTTGAGGTCCGCCGATCGAAGTGCACAGACAACTGGCTCCGCTCCAATCCTAATGCGCGGACCGCGGGCTTGCGCCACCGAGTTGGGTGAGCAGTCGCCAAAAATTCGTCAAATTCCATTGGAAAATGCGCTATCCAGGGCAACGCGTTCCTGAAACGCAATCTTGACAGCTCGGAAAAGGCTGGACAAACAAGCCCCAGCCCCAATTCGGCCAGAGTGACGTGCATCCAAGAGCTTGAGCGAGTTGGCTCCGTCCCAACCAGCTCCGCTTCAGCTGTCCGCACAATCTCGCCGTTGTCATCCTCATTCTGTCAGCAGCTGCTCCCACATTAAGAAGATCTGCCTCCGACCATGGTTTCCTCGGAACTCGGTCGACCAATTCCTGATCGGCAAATTTCTGTGTGGCTTTCGGCACGCTCGCCCCGGTTCGGCAGCCTCGCAGCCCCCGCGATGCCTCCGAAAGATCCGCATCTGAATCTTCCAAGCAGGTTCACTGTCCACGCAGGCATCGCACAACTCCGCCTCCAATATACATGTCATTGACCGGAAAAACCTGTCGCATTGACAGTCGTAGCCGCGCCTAGCGTGGCGCCACAGGGGCCTTGGTGAGACTTCTCTTTGCATCGGATATGCGGACATTCATTCGGCCGTGTTTTACCTGCTCTTGTGCCAAGAAACTCATAGCTGCCCAAAGCGTCTTCCGTATCCTCTCAGTGGCCTCGACGTGAATTTCGGTATCGAGCGAACTAGTGATACTAAGGCATTCCGCTGGAATTGGTCAGCGATGGAGCTCATAACATACTGTATTGACACGGCGACCTTCGGGCTGCTGTCTCGATCATTCTGACAGCGAGAAAAAAAATTTCACATCAACCCCTCGTGAGGCATTGGTCTCGGTATGAGCAACACCAACCTCTCTCACTTCCTCTGAAACATTATGCCGCTTCAGGCTGACTCTAGACGGCAGGCTGTCTTGAACTCGGCTGAGCTGCTGACGAAGATGAAACATTTGTTCGGGAAGGGTTGTTGAATCTGCGCAGGGTCTACTGTATAAGCATGCCGGGATCCCGTGTGAGTGCATTCACTGCATGTGCTGTACAGTAGCAAATGCGGAATGCCCCACGTTCGAACTTTTTTCCTCGGCCTCATCGGCACGCACGATGGGCATGATGTGATCCACAGCCGTGAGGGGCGCTTGTTCGTACAGTAGCTGCGAACAATCTTTTGGCGGTGCAGTGCAACAAAGTGATCGGAGCAAGCATCTTTTATCCGACACCACCCGGAAACAATCCGCTGTTACGCAATGCGAGCTCGAGGTGCCGAGTGGATGGTAAAAGCGCCACCATTCCGAGCAAGATCGACTGGGATCGGCAAGCCACACGACTTTGACACGTTGCGACGCCACGCGGAAAAAGACGACGATCCGCGGGATTTTCTTCGCGTCTTGTTTCATGCAGCGTGGCGGCGGAAATTGGGCCTGCTGTAGCTCAATTAGGTTCAGAGGCGCCACATCCACACTGCACCAAAGGGAGCGTGGAGCGTGGCTGCCAATTGATCGTCATTACCGCACTGACGATCCGCAAAGGGATATGAGTACAATCCATGCAGAGAGCCCGCTGCTACAGGGTGAGAAACTTTTGCGGTGGACTGAGTTGAGGATCAAAGTAATGCGTTCGGCTGGGTTAATCGGCAGGGCTGGTAAGGAGACTCGATCGTCACGCACGTTTGCTAACAGCGGCACTAAGATGCCCATCAACAGCAAAGTTGACCGACGCTCTGACCCTTGGGACTGTTGTTTGGGAGCGCATGATTCCTGCGTGATGGCTTGGCAAAACCATCCGCAGCCATTGCCTTGGTACTTCCCCTTACCCTGCTTGCTTTCTCCGTCTCGCACCATGTGCGCATCAAAGGCATCCGATCTTCAGTTGCTGCCTGAGTTCCACAGCCACTCAATTAAGCCTGATTGATACTGAGGTCCACGTGAGTGCCGTATCCGCTTGTGGATATTGGACCGCCCAGTGTGGTTTGGTACCAGCAGCCCCAAATTGTTCTCTTGTGGTGCGCCAAACATCCACAAGCATGGAGCACTACAACAATGAGGCCTCCTCGCTCGATCTCTGGGGACGATCAGACTAGTCCCGTGGCTCAGCACACTGCCGCAAGCGGCACTATCAGATAGATGACCTTGGCGCTGTTGTCCGGATCCACGCTGACATCTGCGCTCGCCGTCCGGAAGGTTCCAGACACTCGGTCCCCGTTGATTTCTGGGCTCATCTGTTCGGCTCGCAAGCGAACGGAAGAGCCCGTCAGAGTCTAGACACGACT